GACTACATGTAAGCATAGACAAAAACTGCTTAACACATTCCCTGTAACTACCGTGACCAAGCAGAGGTGCTGCTTCACTGCCATTTTTAATAAACAGTATTATCTTAAAGAATGGGGTTATTTGAAAGGTGTTTGATAAAATCTTTTGGAAACTGGTTTCACATCTATCCATTCCACTTTTCACATCCAGCCATTCAAATTACGTTTAACAATTACGTATACTTACTCTATATATATATATCTTAATAACATTTTTGAAGAAGACTGCTGAGCCTGGCTTTTCTGCCCAAAACACATGCCATATGCAAGGCTAATCAGAAGTCATGTCTATCTAGACATTCACTGACAGCTAAGTTAAAATGCAGGGAGCTGGGTATTATTTTCATGAAGAAAGAAGTCTCAGCAGATACAATCACACAGCAAAAGAACTGCTGGCAAAGTCACCCAGACATAGGTGCCTTTGGGGAGCAAGGTATTAGTTATAAGGCAGCTTCTAACGGTGGGTAGAGAAATTGCCTTTGCTTGATGCTGACTGTGTCCCGGGAAATGGAAGTCTGGGCACATTTTTTTTGCAATTAAAAAAGTTAGCATGAAAAACAAAACAACAAACCCAGAAATTTTCCTTCATCATCAGTTTCTCTTCTTAGCAGAAACAATCCTCAGGGCTGAAACACACTGTCAAGAGTAATGGCAGTATTTCTACATCAAGTAACTAGACACCACAAAGGAGTGGAGCTTTCTCTGAAATACAGCCCAAGCCATAGTCACAGCTCTTTTGCCAGCAAGCGATGGCAGCACTGCTGATTGAGCTTCACAGCCCAAATACAGTCAAAACCAAGCTCTTTCTCAGTATCTTGAATCAAAAGTGGAAAAATTACTTAAAAAGTTGTGAGTAATCCCAACTGCTGTACTTCTGAGATCATTTTAAGAGTCAGCCTAGGATAAACTCTTTAGTAAATTAATATGATTTATCGAGCCAAACTGCAAAATGAGAAAGCAATGACTGAACCATAAAGATTTGATAAGCATGGGCAACAGATCTCCACGTCAAAAGCTTTCTGAAACTCAGTCAAAATCAACTTCTTATCTCCCTCACTGGCTCTGTGCATGCATTACAGAGGAGACGAAACGGCCCAGCAGCAGCTCGGAGAAGACAGAACCAGAAAAAGGAACAATTGACATCTGAGGTATCTTTAGAGAACGACGATAGAACTGGTTCAGTACAATACTAGTCACTCCGAGACAACTAAAGAACAAAGATCAGCCTAAAAGGCCTCATGTCCAGAAGTACTGAATACCGGAGGCCAATCTAATGCAGTTGCTAATGGCACAAAGCTCTGTGCTGCTTTTGTCTGCGAGCTCTATGCTAAACTGCAACACACTGCATAGGCAATACTTATTAAACTGTAGCTACCAAAAATGTGTCTCCATAACATACTTTTGGAAATAGAATGAAGATATTATACAAGCACCATGACTGCATAGTTAGACTGTCTGCATAAGAGCATTTTCATGTGATTTCTTTTTTTTTTTTTTAATTCAAAGGCCCAGTTATACTACTTTACTCAGAAGTAACTTCCATTAGTGTCCAAGTATGAATGGCAATACATAACTCATAGTATTAATTTAAAAGTCACTCTTCAATCTTAAAAATTTAACAGAGTGGAAAGAAATTAAGATTCTTTATATATAAGTAAATATATAAATATAAAAATATAAAATATAAAATATATTAAAAAAAGCTATCCAACTTATCATAAGGCAATATACCTACAGAACTTCCCTCCAAAAAATAACTACAACTCAACACAGACTTAATCGACTTCCCACGCTAACACTGTATTGTAAATTATTTACAACACATAAATGGGAGCAATGCTACTCCAGGTCCATTGAAAAAATCAAAATGGCATCACACAAGAAAAATGGCACAACATAGCTTTCTATTACCCACACTGCAACTGAATGAAGGAAATGTAAAAGGAGATGTGCCAAGTTACTTGATACTTGCTAGTCAGCTTAATCAGATACTCTCAGTTTCCTGCAGGAAGGATAACAAACACCGTTCTGCTACTTACTGCACACCACGTCTACTTACATATTTTCTGAGGCAAGATGACTCTAAAACCCTTCGTGCATCTAGTAACACAAGGCGTCTAGAACTACACAATCTGACCTAATGTAAGAAAAGGAGTTTTATATAAAAGGAATGTATTACATGATATGGTACCTGGGCAACTGAGATGAAGCAAATTATAAAGCTATGATGACAGGTATTTGAGTTCCTGACCATCCTTCACAGTAAACCTATCACATCAAATATGTGGCTCCTTACTGCCATCTTCTCTATTTTTAAAATCAGCTCAGAAATTCAAAAGAATATCTGCAACATATTTTTTTAAAATATTATCTGGAGTCTTATTTCAATAACAGAAGACTATTACACATTTAAGATTTTGAATAATAAATTAAAATTCTGTTTTTAATTATGACTTCCATTTCTCTGTGATGATAGGTTGAAAAAAAAAAGCAAAGCTATTTCCACCAAGAATCACTATTCAATGTAAATTCTGCAATGCTTAAATTTTACTGAAAATATTTCTAGCCCTTTTTTGATCATGGAGGTTACATGAAGATGCACTTTTTACTTTCACACCAAGCTGACAGAAAAGCTCAGTTTGTCCCTTACTAACATCAGTAACATTATTTTTTAGTTTAACTATATTTAAACATTAGCACTGTTATGTATTTCATCCAGCTGCTTTATCCAGCGGACGTGTTCATCCATTGGATACAAATATTGTTAGGGAGACTGGAAAGACTTTCTTTTAGTTTTTTTGTTTTTTTTAAATGTGTATACACACAGAAGGAAGTAATGGGGAGGGAAAGAAATGTGATAAGCAATAGGCACCAACAATGCCAAACTGTCTGTCCTTTAGGTTTACCCTTTAGCCAAATTCTTTATCCCCTGCCCAATCTACAGGGAAAACGAAGAAAAAAGAGCCATTTTAATTTTTCCCATTTTTGTCTGAAATAGTCTTCCTCCACCCAAAAAGCTGAATGGATGCAAGAAAGAAAACAAGAATGTATTAGATTTCTCTCCCACCCTGAATAAAGCAAAAAAAGTAGTGTTATTTCTTTCTGTAATATTTTCCCTTCAGCTGCTAAGAGCTAAGGCTTTGCTAAGCAGCAGCCATCAGCCATGACATGAATTCCCCCATTTTCTCTGCTGTCATTAATAATTGCTTTTAAAAGATGACAGTAAAGCACAGACACTAATATTCAGGCCAGCTAATAAAAAAGGAGAATAAAATTGGCATTTTCCAACCTCAACATCACGAGCTAGCCCCCTCCCCATCATATTCTCGGAAATAATGCCTTAAAATCATGAGTTTTTCCCTTTTTGCTTCTTATAATTTCTAGCTCTCTTCACTCCCTTTTTTGGCCATTGATTTCCTAACAATTTCAGGAAATTAATCATCTTGCATATATGCATTTCTCTTCCTGACTGCACACAGCTAAACTCTACTTAGCTTCTTATTCCTAAAAAAGGAAAATTGCTACATGTTTTCTGTTATTGCCTTGATTTTCTACTGTATTATAGTCTCATATTCCCCTCACATTCCTGTGTTGACTTTGTAAAAATCTGGAAAATGAATAATGGATAAGTAAAGGTTTCTTACTTTCAAAATATTTTTAGTAAAGGTTTGTATGAGCTGTACCTAATTTCACATGCTACTCTTGTAAAGACGATCTTGGTAATACTGAGAAAACTCTAACAAAAGCAGAGCGCTCTCTGGGACAATCAATTTGATCTAGAATCTTCATTTCTCCCTGTATAGCAGCAAAAATTCAAGGTATTTTAAAGAGTCAGTGACTATTTTGTTTAATTTTAATGAACTCCACAACTATATTAATCTAACATTTAAAGTATCTAACATCTCCGAACAACTTAAAACCTATTTATAAACTCTATATCTAGAATCATATTTTATAGAATCACAGAATATCTACAGTTATATTTTTTAATCATTCTTCTGTCCCAGGGATCATTTTGTTTTATGTCTGGGTTTCTCCAATGCTTCTTTTCTCCTTCTCCACCACTCCCTGGCATTATGCTGCCCCACAACTCCTCTTTGCTCTGCCCCACAACAACTCTTTGCTCTGGCCAGGATCTAAGCAAAGGGGAATTCTGAGGGCATGGGTGTATTTCTTTTTGCACAGCCCGGAGCCAGAACTTTTGCAATGGAGAACATCCAACCTGAAAACATGAGAATACAGTTGCTGCCCACGTCATCCCAGGAACATGTTGTACAGACACCACAATCCCATGGCCGAGAGCATACCACAAGCAAGAAGCTCCGAGAGGATTCTCTTTCTCTCCCCTATCTAAGGGTGCAGAACTCGAACTGCTTCTCACCATTTCCTTGTCCCAGTACAAACATAAATCCATCCAGTCCCACTGTGCCTTGCTCTCTTTCACCTTCCTTTTGATTTTCCATGGGATCTCTGCCTTTCTTCTCATTCTGTGTTATAACAGGATGCTGCCCAGTCTCATCTGAACACTAAGTACCAACCATTTTGCTGGTGCTTGAAGGCAAGATGTCAATCTCACTGAAAAAAATCTACATGAAAATATAGCTTTTAAGAAAACGGTGACTCTCTTTCTGTCTTTATCTCTGCAAGCAGTAATGAGAGACAGGGCAGATAATTTCATTAAGAAAAAAATAGCAAGGTAAACACTTCTTATTGTATTATGAAACATAACGTTCTTTCTTTTCTTTGTTTTATGATCTTTCTGTATAAAAAGAATTTTCAATATCAGAATCATGGTTTAAGAATGAGTAAGATACACTTTCTACCTAGATATTGCTAGATTCCAGAAGAAGGAACACCTGAATCAGTCTGCTTCCCACCCTTCCTCTCCCCGCAAAATCTGTTACAGATGAAAATATCTACAATTGACACCTTTAATATTCTGATCTTAAGTAGTTACTTACTTTGTGTCTCTGATGAGAGGTGCGCTTCCCAGTTTGAAACAGATTTTTTCCCCTCCACAGAATGTTTGTCTCAAAGAAAAGCTTTCTGCTAGATCAAACCCTGCAAAATATGATGAACTGATTTAGTTTATTTAATGCAACTGTAAAAACTGAGGGGACATACTGATTTTTAGCATATTTGGTGACTTTCTAGAATACAGATTGGTATGCTTTAGGTCATAGAAACTTCCAATATTCATTTATTCAGTGGAGAAGATTTCAGTGCAGAATTCCACCAGTAGCTGACTTTGCAATCTCTGAGAAATGCACTGATTATTTCCTTTTATCATCTGACCTAATAACAACATCTGTTGTTCAGAGCTGGAGCATGTTTGAAAAGAGAGTGGAAATGACTGCACGTATAGAACGCAAAACAGCGCCTTTCAAAAACAACACTTTCTGATTTTGATCAACCTCACTTTTCTGAAACCAACAACAGTTTTCGGAGAATGGAGGTGGCAGATTGTACTATCCTTCTACAGCTTTACAGCCAGCTTCAGTGGGACTACGATTACATCTACCACTGGTAAATTAATTCAGGTACTTTACTCTTCCTATTAACTGAAATCATTTACCTGAAACACTGAGATCATCTCTGTTGACTTGTCTGAGTTGATGGACAACTGTTCTCATCACAGGACACACTGCACCTTCAAAAGAATAGCTGAATATGTACCATAAAATTTTATCAAATAAAAATGAATCAGACAGTGATTATAATACCTGCCATAAAACAAAATAAGCTGTAGTTAGTAATATTAACAGGAAAGTGGTTGTTGTTTATCTTTAGAATTAAAAAAAAAACACTCCACAATCTAAATAACAGCAATGATATTTTTCTTTAAGTGTAGTATTAGTATTCATACTACACTTCTAATATTATAAAGAAACGAAAATTTTATCATACTTTAATTCTTACAAAGCTCCTTCCATATTGATTCTGTATAAAGCAATAACATCTGTTGCAATTTTTTTACTATTTCTGAGTAGATTAAATGTTAGCAAATCTGTTTTTTTCCGAAGAAGTATATATTACAATGAAAATGCAACAAAAAAAGCATAAATGCTTAATTACTGGTGGCAATAATCCATTGTTACTTTGGGAACACTAATTTCAAAATGTGGATTAACAAGGATGCATTCATATAATAAGCAATGCAAGTAATATTTCTATTTTGGAAAAGCTGTTAAAAAATAAACAGCTTTACTAGGGATTAAGTCTGAAGCAACATATTTAAGTAAACAAGCAGAGTGTTCTAATACTTGGAACACGGTAAACTCAAAGGTTAATTCTAACAAACACATTTAACAACGTACTATTAATATGCAGTATCCTCCTATCATAAAGTTATTATATATCTATATGGACACACACACACACACACATATATACACACACAGAGCGAGAAACACTTTTTAAGATGCAGCTACAGGGAAATGTTACTTTTGTGCACGGGTCTGAAATAGGGCTTTTTCTTTAACCGACTTTGCAAATAGCCTCATTAAACCCTATTGAAACTATCAAAGGGAAGACGACAAGCAGGATTTGGCCCATGCACTTATTAAGCACAGAGCTCCGCGTTGAGCTGAAGTGACTGAAAAGACTGCCAAGCTGTCTAAAGCTACTAAACAGCGAAGGACGAGGTGAAAGCGTCAGTTTAGTGAAAAAACCAGGAGGAACGGCCTAGCGTTAACCTAGAAATTACCTATATTTAAAAATTTCCAAGAGTATGCAGGCTGAAAGTTGACCTTTAAATACCTATATTGATAATTTAAAAGCACGTTACATTTGTCATTCATTCTGCAGTAATGTAGAAAGATTATTATCCTTCACAGATTTTGAATTCTATTAAATGCATTACAGTATTTGATCTGGAATATAAACAGCTAGTTGGAGATAATGAGGAAAAAATTTAAATAAATGATACAATACAGAAAAAAGAAACTTCCTAACAACATAATTAATAAAATCCCATTAATTGTTTAAGAAAAGATTGAGTGGAGGCAGTTTTTTGCAAGACGCATCAAGTTCCACTCAATACCATGTCTTTTATGCTGCAATTACAATTAGAAGTAACTAACTTGTAAGCGGATTTATTTCAAAGGCAGGAAGATACTATATTCTTTCTTTCCTTCATATGTACATTAAATATATATATACATATGTATATGAAATTTCATGAGGGAGCGAGATGAGAAGAAACATATGCATTAAAAACAACTACAACTCACACTGTAAACCCCATTTCCCCACAACAGATGCAGAACTGTTAGAATACTCATACTGAAATCTCAGAAACCAAAATTAAATCTTTCATTACTCTTAGCTTACAGGAAGTTTTATATAGTGTGAAATGCGTTCAGTGGAACTACATACTAACATATACTGCACTTTCTATACTGTTTGATGTGCACACCCTAAGGAACAGAAACAGGCTCACCTTAGATGCTCTTTAATCTACTCACTTAATTCTTGAATCATTTATACAGATTATTAAACTAAAAACTTTAGATAGAAAGTATAGATTTTTATCTCTAGCTGCTCTACAGTAGTGAATGGGATTACAGTAGTTTTACACAAACATAACTACAAGAAATATGCTAGTGTAAAAAAAGCCTACTGTGGCTGAAGTCACAACAGCCTTTCGTATATACACTAATAAATACTCTTTTAATTCCCCGTTTCTATCCAAGTTTTATATAAAGACTATGGGAAAGAATCACTTTTTCATTAAATTTCTTTATAGTACGTATAATAGAAGAAGACAGATATGACCACTGAGGATTTCACCTGAAACTGCTATAGTAGGGTCTACAAGACTAGAGGGGGGGAAAAAAAAACACTTTTTTGCAGCATTAACTTAAATGAAGGCTGAGTGGCTAAGGACCAGGGAGTTGCAGCTTATTCCCTCCAGCCCCTTTCTCCCATATCCAAATAAAGAATCAAGCCTTAATTTCTGTGCTATCCAGATGATAGCAATGATTCCTCACATGCCACAGACCGGACTGTAGACCTATTTTTATCAGTGGCATAACACTCACAGCATACACAGCCATGTAAGTGTTACTTACTTGGTTGCATCCCATATCCCCAGAAAAACTGAAAGGGTTACTGCGATTCCTCTTCCATCTTGTGTTGCTGATGCGCTCCTCTAGCTCAATACTATTCTACTAGAAAGCCAAGGTAAAAGACTAAAATACTAAAACCGAAAGCTATCCAAATCAGGACTGGTAACTTTTAGTACTACAGATTGATGAAAATTCTGTCTATAGTTACAGCATATAATGACAAAAAATAAGTCTCTTCCAAGATTTTCAGTTATGCTAGAAGAACTTTATATATAATTCCTTTTGACCTGAGACAAAACAGACAGATTACCCATTCAGTGCATGGGTAGCTGAATTAGAAGATCTACATGAAGGCAGTCAGGAAAGAAAAAGAACAAGACAAACTGTTATCGCTAATTCAGGCGGGGAAACCACGCAACTACCTGTTACAATACACCAATACACCATGTAGTAGCATGAAGAAGCACCTTACATTTACACAGTAGATTACTCCACACATGGTAAAACTTCCTTGGTCTGATTTGAGAGCCACAATTCATATTAAAACGCTGACTGAAGCATAACTTGCCTATAAATTAATGAGATTTCCTACCCATAGGACGAATTATAGATCTTAATATGTAGAAATCAATAAGTCTACTATAGGAACTTAGTGTTACAAAATAAACATAATTATTATCAACATAAAATAACATAAACACATATATATGTCAATCAGGCAGAAAGATCACAGATCATTGTGATCTGTCTCTCCAGTAGGACACTAGTAAGAAAAGCTTTTTATATAATAACATTTTGCAGAAAAAAATTTCCAAGTAATGGGGCTACATCTGGACTTATCTGCTGGGACATGCCATGGCATGTCCTGAGTTCTTGGAACGAGCAGGGCACCTGTTGAAGCACGTTGCAGCTTCAAGCTAGGCCCCATGCCCAGTTTTTCCTTCCATGAAAACTAGGAGGCAGGAGACACTGATGCATGCTTCAGTCTCACTCTTACATATGTCTCCTGTGTGAACTTCCTGGCTGGGAACTGTAGCTTCCAATAAGCACTCTTGGCCCCTCTAGAGTGAACGCAACCTATAATGGCTTGATTCACTTTACAAGTACCTATCCACTACTTCATAAGTGGAGTTTCCATTCAGGGCAATTTTTCAGAGGTATCTAACACCACCGACGTGCACCTTCTGCATACGCTGAAGTTTCTGTCAGCAAACACAACCAATCAAATGAATGCAGCCCAACAGCAGAGCCCCAAACTACACATTCTCACGTGATATGTCACACCTAAACCTCAGGAAGAATCCCAGATTAGCTGGGGATCCATTTGTCTCGTACTCTAACAGGATCAGACTTCATATGAAGATAGACAGAACGAAACTCTCTGGAGTGCATGGCTTACTCGCGCCTGTCAGCAACAACATCTAACAAGTCCAGCTTTAAGGTGTTCACACTGAAGACGAGAATCCTATTTTCAAACAGGATTTCTCTTTCACACTGGAAGCTGCTTTATATTGCATTAAAAACAAATATGTTAATTAAATCAAAGGAGGGAAGAGAAAAGGCAGAGACTGAATGTTGTTGATACAGGAAAATCAAGTCCAACTATTATTTAGATAATTGTGTAAATAACATAACACCTTTGGCAGGATACATTAAGAAGTCCACGCTGACAGAGTTCTAGCATTTGGATACTCACACTAGACATTGGAGACTTGGATTTTCCCATGAGGAAGAGGAGGTTTTTTTTAAAAAATAAAAATAAAAAAAAGCACAGCATTTCACATCCTAGGTGAATATCTTGGCCATAGTACTTGATGTTTCCCTCTTTCTCTAGCTTTCCATGAAAAAGGGCCGATCTAATTTACAGGCTTCACTCTGAGAATGTGTGTAGCTGAGAATACTTCCTTCTGTGGTACGAGGTCTCCCTAAAGTACTACTTACTGACTAGCTGAAGTGGCTTTCCCACAATGTACAGCCTTTTGTGAACCACATTCTTAGTTACCTAAAGCCCCCTATTCACTGCCTGAGAAGCCCTGGTATTTAACTACGAGTTAAGGAATCCAGTGGCGGCAGGGCAGCTTAAAGTTAAACATTGCAATATAGTTTATGGATCCAGTCTTAAATATCCAGTTTAAGAGTTTAAACTATTTAAATGTAATAAATATATTTTATACGAGAATAACAGAAATAGTATTTTTGAAGATTATCTATGTACTAGAACAACAAAACTGAAAAGAAAAGCTGAACTGATCTGCATACTTGAAACCATTCACTGTATTTGGGTTAAAGTGCCTATCTAAAATTATGATCTAGAGCCAATACTTTTCACAACACATTCCACATCAAAAGGCAATGGAAATTCACTGTGGCTGAGAGTCCCAGGACTTTGTTTATGCTACATTTGTCATGGGTTAGCAAGTGATTTTGAAGAAAAGTAATTGCAAAAGAAAGTTGAACAAAGTAACAAATAATCTAGGAATGAGAGAGAAGTATTAACATTCCTAGTATGAAAAATAGGAATGATCACATTGAAACTTTTTGTATCGCTGCGAAAAGAGCTCACGTTCATGCTCCGAAACCAAATGCTCCCAATAATAAGAAAATTAGTCGACAACAAATAAAATGAAGATTTTATTCTTGAAGCCAAGTCAAAAACTTGATTACGGAGAACTCCTGAGCTTCAGATTTATAACCCAATCCCCTCCCTTCGATTTGCTGTATTTTATCTTTAGAAGTAATTGCTTCCTTCTGATAAACGATTAGCTTTGGCAGATCTTGAAGGACAGGAGCAGAACTGATATGTAGGGGAGAACAAAGGGCCAAAAGAGAGTAAGCTAATGAAAAAACCAAAAAATTTGAAGAAGTTAAATATTTCTCTTATCTCTTACATCTTCATTTTACATGCCTGCTTTACATCAAGTAAATCTGTTTTCCTTTCCAAAATGGGATCTTGATTCAAGCAAAACACAAATAGACTTGGCCCTCTTCTTCTTGAAATGAGTACATTTCTGATTTGTAACAGTTTCATCTGCATATAGTTATCAAACTAGAACAAGATAATTTTGAAACAGAATATTCAGCTCAGCCAAATGACACAGTTTAAATAAAAAGGCTCGCAAACACACCTATTCTCCTGACCACTGTACATTTGCAAGGTAGGTTCTTTCTCAGCTCCTGCTTTCTGGTTGATAACCTACGTTTCTTTTTTGGGTGGCAACCGCCCTTTCAGTCTGTAGAAAAATCTCTTTCTTTCGTCCTATCACCTTGAAGCTGCCTCCCGAGTCTATTCCCTGCTGTAAGCAGGGCCGCGCTGCCAGCTATCTACATGCTGTTCCTCACCATCTGCCCCTGCCACCCCACACTGCAGAAGCTTCTCGCAATCGCACACCCTCGGTTATTTTCAGAAGAGGTTCAATCTCTCCTCCCAGTGGTTCCATTTGACCTAAATTTGATCCATTTGTAGCAGCCAGGCTAAGGAAAACAGCAACCTCCCTCCCTGCTGCCCAGCCACAAACTTCTAACAGAACATAATGTACAATTCAGATATATTGTTTACGCAGTTTACAGTATCTGTCACGTTTTCTTTGACTGGTTTGCCTTTTACTAAGATGCCTTTTCATTAGACAACAAAAGAAAAAGGACAATATTTCCTGGCATTTTGTTTTAAAATTATTCAAATTATACATTTATATTATTAGGGAACCTTGCACAATCGCACCTTTCTGACCTTTAAAACTTCCCTTCTGCAGTCCTCCAGTGAGGAAGGACAGATAAGACAACACCGTCCCTCCGACGGCTAAAGAGAATGATTGCAGAGCTATTATGTAAGGCGCACTCTCTCCCAGGGGTTAAGAATAATTCATCTCTGGAGCACTTAGCTTTGCTGCCTGAAGAGTGCAAGGCAAAAAGGTCTTTGACTTACACTCAGATTCTCTGCAGGGCATTACTGCTACCCTGGAGCTCACACATTACAATTAGTATTTATTAAATATTACTATTTATTTTTTCCAGGAGCAGTAAGAGGACTGTTATGCTAGTCGTTGGCTTTTTAAATTTCTTGGGTCCAAGTTTCAAAGGTGTTGCCAAGTTTCAAAGGTGTTGTGTGCCTAAAGCTTCCATTACCTCCCCATCGGATTTCTCAAAAATGAGTGTTACTAAAAATAAATTTTGTTTCTTAAAAAAAAGAAAAATCAACACTGTCTATTTCTACTTAAATAGGAATAAACATGTTCTCCTTGTTAGCAACTGTAGGAAAATTCTAAAAAGCTGAGGTACACACTGAGGTTGAGCAATTCCAGAAAACTAACAATTTATTTTTCTACAAACATACAACTGATATGTATTTAACAGAAAATTTACTGCAGTCAGGACAGTCAAGGTAAAGGACAAAACCGATAACAGAACAGGAGTTGCAGAAAGAGACCTTTGCTTTAAGTAAGAGAATGAGTTAACAGGCCGACAATAAGAAGAAAATGAAGAAATTAAGGTAATTTTGCAGAAGATGGATACCCAAGCTTTTACTTTAAACAATTTTGTTATATTCCTTTCCCACGTCTTCTTAGGTACAAGGTTCTGCCTTACTCTACATCGGTGAAATACTTGACTTGCTTAGGAGATTTAGGTTAGGGTAGGTTGTCTCTAACATTAAGTTGTTTACCTCAGTGTGAGCACTGATCTCCCATAATTAAGCCACAAGATCTTATTCATAAAGATTTTGCAAGCCCTGATATAGAATTTTTTTTGGTATGGTAAGTTTAGGAAGTACAAAATAGAACTCCCCGAAACTACAACTGCTTCCAAATGTTCATCTTCCAAGTACAGGAAACAGAAAGATTGCTTTGAAACTGCTTCAAGACTTAAGACTTCTTCAAAGACAGAGATAAAACCACTGGTCTTTGTAATTGCTCCTGCTTGTATTGTTCATTTGTTTTCCATACGCTATCTTTAAAAAAAAAAAAAAAAAAACCTCTTTCAGCACTGCGATTTGTGCCTTTGGTCTGTGAAGGACAAAAAATTGGAAGTACCTGTCTGGTCAGTGACAGCCACAGAAGTAGAAACAGGAAGGAGGAAGAAGACTGCCATACAATGCCAAACTACGCAGGATCCAAGGTACTTCATCTCCCCCTGGACTCATGTGAACAATCAGCCACGAATCTGAAAGAGAAAATACCCATACTGAGAGCATGTCTTCTTATTCTTTCTTCCTTACCCCATCAGAAAACCACAACAAGAATTTAAGTGTAAAGAAAGAGTGAATCACTAGTCCTACAGAATGCGTATCACTTATCCATTTTAAAGAACTATAAAAAAATAGACTCATATGAACTTAGAAATGAACAACAAATACATTCCCTTAGTCTGTTATTAAGGTAACGAGTAACACTTTCAGAAATATTAACTTAAATATACTAGTTATAAAATCATAAAAATTCATTTCATTAGTAATGAATGAATTTTCTTTTTATTTTTCTCCTGGATTTTCAATTTGAAATATGATAGCTTAACTGTTTGGTGCCACAATGCTGTGAATGATTGCTGAAGTAGTCATCAAATCCAACAAGGATAATAGGTAATTCTTTTGGTGTAAATGCAAAACAAAGAAAAACACAGTATTTCTCTTCCTTGCAAAATATACAAGGCCCTAGAGCAGCTTGTACCAAGTTTACACTTTAAATTTTTTTAAAAACACAGTCTGGCTCCAACAATACATCTTTGTCAACTAAACACAACACCAGCTTCCTACTAAGCCAACTACAATTTATAGAAACACATGAACTTAGTGAAACGCAGAAAACGGCAACAAATAATTTGTTTTTCTTACCGAAAACACGTTATGAAAAATGTAACTATATGATGCACAGACTACACGTCTATAATTATTTTTGTAAAGCACCATATTCATCAACAGAGCTGCTCTGTCAGTCACATGTATGGACAGCAACTACACCATGACTGACTTTCCCAGCCTCTCCGACGGCAGCAAAGCCAATGCGCGTCCAGGGGAACGCGATCATTTAATTTCCTGCACCTGCTTTACGAGCAGGCACCAGTCATTCACTAGAGCGGCCGTGCCAAGGCATCTCGTTTCCCGCAGGGCCCTCGCGAATGAAACAAGGAGTATCGCCCTGCTCCTCGCTTGAACTCGGCTTCAGCTCCCGCCCGCCGCTTCGGCAGC